TCACAGCTGATGAATAATTAGCACATTAGTGGCATCGATTCTCAACTTGTTCATCATTTGGCAGATCTTCATAAGAGAACAATCCTTATACAGTAAAGAGACATTCACAACTTCAGCACAGAACAACATATAAATGGGGACAAATCCATTTTAAATCCATCGCACTTGGGAAAAGACAACTTTTTAAGCCTGATTCTTACTAAAAAAAAATGTAAAATATTAAAACTATCCATGAGGCCAGCGCTGAATCAGTGCCATCCAGTCCCAGAGTTCATAAGATATTGAAAACATTTTCATTCACTCAATTGATCATGAAAATATGCTTTTCAAATACAACATTGTCTCCTTTTCAAAATAACACATATTATCTGAGAGCGATCACGGTCAGTCACTGTGACTCAGACACAATCACACAAAGACCGGACCACACCGCTGACATAATGTACCATTTGCAGATTAATAATAGAAACACAATTTGCCAAAGCTGCAGTAATTGAGGGACAAACTGAGCGGTATCCGGAACAATTACCTTTGAGATGACTGGTTCATCTCCCATTGGAAATGGAAGGATAATTATAGGTTCTAACAATATGAACAATTTAATGTCACTTATCGGGAAGGAGTAGTATTTTTTCAAATCAAATTCTAAACTCTCCCAAACAGCAACTGTCCAATGTGAGCTCAGCAACGAAAACTAGGAACAGACAGCCTGTCAAGCTTCAGAGTTCCCAGCAGGCCTAAACTCCTTTCGAAGAGCAGCGTGTTTTTTTGAGGCTCCATCCACACTAATACATGTTTTTTTTTTTTACAATGCCTCATTTCTTCTACATTTATGCCTAGCATCCACATTTTGGCAGCGTTCCAAGACTCCTAACACTAAATGATGAAATGCTGCAGAACCCATTTTGAAAACTTCAGGGTAGTATTTTAGTCTGGATTACACAGACAGCCGTTTCTGACACTCCTACCAGATTTGTCAAACCTCTACCACATGACCCTTCTCTAGAAAAAAAACCCCAAAGACATCTGCCTCGACTATCAGCGGGTAATTCAACATCGATAATGAATTACAAGCATCTCTGGACCTTGCAGATGCTCTGCAGTTCAGTCTCTGAAAACCAGAACCCCACAGTTGGTTAGAGAGAGGGCTATATTCTAAAAATGTAAAAATAAGAATTTAAAAAAAAGAATGGCAAAATTACACTTTCTTGAGCCAGAAACTAGAAGCAGGATAAATGGTTCCATTTTCCAATAGTCCTTCAACGAATCATCTGTGACGTGTCTTAGTCATGAAAATCCACCAGATCCAGGCCTAAAATCAGAATATTTCATCAAAATCACTTCATTCTACATGTCTTGTTGAAAAAAATGCCAAAAGTAAACCATGTACTTCAGATCCTGTAAAAAAAAAAAAAAAGTAAATTCTGTGATCCTCAGTGCAACTGAGAAACCAAGTTTTACTCAACTACATCAAAGAGTCACGAAACAAAAAAACTGCGACTTTTCACTTGCCGCTGTGCAGCATCTCAAAATTTCTCACTTGCAGAACGAAAAAAGATGCTGCAGCAGACATAATATGTTTGCAAAATCATCTGACTGCTTTCTTACAAAATATTTATCCAACATCGCCTTGGACGCTTGACGATATATATATGAAATGAACAGATATGTGTTAAACATTTGTTGGTTTTGGCAGTGTTCTAGGTCAGTAGTATTTAGGAAGTGCAGCTCTGCCTCTTCTTCAAGCCCATAAGAGTACGGAAAAGAGAAAGAGAATAAAAGTATATCTTCAGAGAGAAGAAGCAGTTCTCAGACTGAGCTGTTGCCTGCAGCTACAGAGTTAACCTCAGAATTCAATTGAGTTAATAACCGACACACTGTTTTGCACCCCAGTAACGGGACCCAGCTCGTCGTTTAAAGCGTGACCAATCACAGTGACGTCCAGATCATTCAATTATATTTAACTTAACAAAGTCACATTTCTTTCTGGGGTCTTTGCCCTATCTTCAAGATGAAGTTTTAAGGAGAGAATCTACAGAGTTGGCTTTTTGAAATAGTCATTTTGCATTCCTTCTTTGTATGTCCACTCTCCATTAACAGCCAATAAGTATTTCCCTTTGAAATAATTTGAGTCCTGAATCAGTGGAATGAGTGCAGAAAAATCTGTAATTTTAAATATTCAATCAATTAGATTTATTTTAAAAAGTGGGTGGATATAAAGGGATGAATTCAGTTTTTGTCCGGTTCAATCAGGACAATCCTGGCACGCCTCAAAACAAGAGGAGAGTTGATGAGAGCTGAGGGAGTCAACCAAAACTGTAAAGTCTGTAAAATCAGGGAGCAAAACAACGAGCAGGAAATATGCGCTTTAGAACAGAGGGAACTACAGAATCAGACGACTGTGCATTTGTCACTAAGAGAAGAGATAACGCTGCATTTTGAATTTCATTCACAGTTCTCATACAAAATGGGTGGGTTTAATATAATTCACACTCACAATCGCATGCAGCCTCTCATCTATACTTTCTAATACAGCATATCTTTTGTGTATGATTGCAAGAAAAAATGAAAGTTGGTAAGTGGCAACTCACACAGCATTCTGATGACCAATTCTCACTGCATGGAAAAGAATATATTCCCTCAAACATATGACCTCACTTCAGACCTGGCTTGTCACATGTCATGTCCCATGTGAGCAAGCCGCAAAGCTCTTTCTTCAGAATAATCACCTCCTGAGAGGCTCTTGGCAGATGCACATTTTCCCTGCTGAAGCGTTAACAGAAATCCAGTCCATTAAAGAAGTATTATCCAAGCGGGAGGTGCAGGGCTCTCAGAAATAAGTAATCACTTCACCTGTCTTGAAAAGCAAAATATATGAAAGGCAAGAAAAATAGATATTGATTACAGCATATGGAAGGATCCTAATATCAGAAAGGAAATGGCACGCTGGAAATGTAAGAAATATGTAGTATTTAAGGATGTTTTTCTTGCATGTTTTCACTGCCATTAAAAGGCTCATGCTAGGCATGTTCACGACTCACTGCTATTTGAATAATGCCATTATAAATTTATTCAATTAAAGATATACTGAGAAGGCAGCAGAGGGACACACATGTCAGAAAATGGAATGTGGATTTGCAGTAGTAGCTGATTGTTCCACCAGTTGGAGCCTCCTGCCATTTAATGAGATGAAAGTACAGGTTTGTGTACTGATGAGTGAACCTTCTGGCTGTCTAACTACTAAGTGTGGCAGTCATGCTGATGAACTCTGCAGCATCAAGTTGTGAAAAAGTTGTATAGCTAGCGACTTGAGGCTCATGTTAATGCTGAGCCATGTCGTTCAAACACCAACACAAGCTGGGAGTTTAGACGCTGCTAACGTTCAGAAGCAGGAAGACTCTAAATAAATACTTTCAAAAACATTTAAACTAAAGTGATGAAGCGTATTAACAATGCTTTGCTCTCAGGATGAACATACGTTGGAGGTGGCAGTAAACAGTGAGACTTCCTGGACTGACAAAGTTGTTGTGACAGTATTTACGAACATCTGTTTCAGCCGAGCAGCTGTTCTCCAACAGCTGGACTAACGTTGATTACAGTACAAGTCGCTCCATCATGTAGATCAGCTACGAGGATTATTGTAAATCAAACTACTTTGAAGACATTAATTGTGTTACAGGTTACTTACTGTGGAAGACTGCAGCTTGTTTGTTGTGTGTTTTACTTCTTTTGTTGGCCCAATGGTTAAACAGCAATTTCAAATCAAGTCATCGTTTTCATTTGTCCTAACTGAATTTATAATCTAATTACATTCTTTAAATTCCTAACGCAACCAAACAGCTTTAGGGGCTAACAGTAACTGTTAGTGACTGGAAATGGCTTTGTCTACATATTGAAAAACATTCACAGAATTTCATTAATTTTAACAATTATTGCCTTGTTTATTGTTAACACTGCCGACTACAAGTTAAAAAAGTGTTTAAAACCTCCCAAAGTCCAAATTAATAGCTCTGTAGCAACTCATTTAAACATGAAATGAAAAGACACCTGATCTGTTCTAACAAAAAACACCACGTCGCTTTACAGTTTACAGCACATTGGAGGATATGAACAGACACAGATGCCCAAGAGACACAAAACTTTACATCGAACCAGAGCCCAGGAAGTTTTAAATCAACGGATCACACCACCAGAGCTTCAAGGGAGAGAACCCATGTCGCACAGGGAGAATATGCAAACTCCACACAGACAGGCCTTCAGTCAAACCAATGACCTTTGAGCTGTGAGGCGACAGCGCTAACCTTCGCCCACCACAGAAATATCTCCAACAAAATACCTGCACCTCATAAAGTCAATGTTGCTGTACAGGAACGAGTCATTAACCTTTGGTGTGGAACCCAGATCTTCCGGTTTGGTTCCAGAAGTAATAAAACTTAACTCAAATGTCGTTCATATTTACATCTTTACTAACAACTAAAAATACACAGATGGAACAGAACTGTGTTTAGATAAAGACAGTTTTTGAAATCATTGTTTGTTCAACATGTGTTCTTTTAACCAGTGGTTAACTATTTTGCACGAGCTGGAGAGACCGAGTAGAGTCTCCAGGTGTGGGTTTGTTACATCTGTTATATGACGCAAGTCTCCTAAAAATGAAGTCATTTGCGTTAATCAACAAAGTTTGCTGTGGCGACTGATACCGTTTGTTCCTCCATTACACATGAGCGCTCTTATTCCCTGCTGGGAGGTTGCAACGGAAATACATTCTTGTAAAACAACACAGAGTCACTGCTGAGATGACAGTGTTTGAGCGCCTTGTTTACTGCACATGCATCCTTTGTTCTTGGCAGTCTGTCAAATTACTACAAGCAGATGATTTAAAAAGAAGCCTATATGTAATAGACTCACAAATATTATACATTTCTGCACATTTTTTAGTAATCCTTTACCCAAAACAACACTTGGCAGAAGGTAGCAGTGATAGTTTCTCCCATTCTTACCTCTTTGTCCATGCTTTCGAGGTCTTCCTTGCAAAGCGTGTACAGGGGCATCATTTCTGACATGCTCGGCTGTCGTTTCCGACGTGACGGTCCTGGGTCCTCGTCGCTTTGACTGCACCTAGAAGCCTCTTCTTGCTGACTTTGTGAAGTTCCCCTATGGTACAGCAACCAACAAAAAAACAGAAAACACTGGGTATAAGCTGACACACAAGTTAATTCACTGAGTAAGAATAAATAAATACTTTAGAAGATTATATATAAAAGCAGACCCCAAAGAAGAACCTGTGATCACTGACACAAGACTTTGTACATGTGTGATTTCCAATTAATCTAATTGCATGAACGCGGGTATAAAATGAGCTGTGTATATCAGAACTTCATCAGTTTTAGACCTAGGTGTTGTGTCTATCTGCATGTCTGCATTATGGCTCCAGACAAAAAAAAAACAAAAAACACCAGAATTCAAAAAGTTGATTGCAAAACGTGGTGCAAAAGGTTTCAGGAAGACGACATTTATAGATGGCACCACGAATGCTTATGAGTATTCTAAAATACTGGCTGAGAAGCTGACTACCAGTCTGCAGAAGCTTAGCAAAGGAGGAATATTTCAACATGATCCAAAACATACTGCCAACAATCACACAAGTGTTTCTAAAGAAGGACTAAGTCAAAACCGTGACCTGTCCAAGTTTGCTGTCCAACTTGAATCCAATAGAACAGATTTAAGGTATTTTTGGGAAAACAGTAAAGCAACACAATCTCCACAGCAAAGACCTGCTAAAACAACATCTCTCCAGAAAGATGGCGTCCTCCACACTGAGAAGGATTAAGTCTGTTTCAAACAACAAAGGTGAAGATATGGCGTTTTGAAAACATTTTGAATCTCAGTAATGAAATGCAAATAACCTACTATTCATCTTAGAAGTAATGCAATTACTACAGGGTCATACAATGTTTGACATTTAGGAAATGTTGCACACAAGTGTACTGCTGTTGTATCCTGTGTATCTGAAAATTAATCCTTACTTACATAGTCTTTACATTTGGATTTTTCTCAGTCACACTTTTCTATTGTTGCCCTGTTGGTTCCTGTGTAACAATAATCGTTACAGGGAACTGAATTCATTTGGAAATCCTGCGCATAATGAGCACATATAGCTCATAACAACAAAGGATGAAGGTTAAACCTGGAGACCAATCATGAGAAGTGCATAGGCTTTCTCTGTAACGAGGGCCCAGTAGATGTATATGCAAATTGGAAGAGGATGTTTCTGCGCTTCCTTTTAGCAGCGCTTAATTGAATAGATCTTTGATGATTCTGTCCAGCTTTATGCAACTCCCTGAAAACTTCACAGTGCCTCTAATCCATAAATAAAATGGGCCAATTTTCCGCTTGAGATTATTAATTAGGGAGTATCATTACAGATATATACGATTTATAACCGCTTTAAGCTGCCGTTCAGAGCATGAGTATGAATTTCTCAAGAGCTATTTGTACAGCAGTCAGGCAAAAGCTTCCCCGTGGCTCCCCAATGACAGAAAAATACAAACACAGAGGACATGCTCTTCATTAGCATCGGTGACTGACAGATGAATGACAAAGGGAGTGGAAGATCACAGAGGTGACTTTGAGGAACTGTGAAGCCTTTTCTTGCACCTGCCACATCATTCTTGTCAAACTGTAGGTGGAAATTAAAAGAGAACATGACTGGAAAAATCAAACGACTGGCTGAATACTAAAAAAAACCGCCTCTTTTTAGTGGTCTGAATTCTATTCTATTAAAGATGCAGATAAAAGAAGTACAACACAAGCTGGGAGGCTCATCTGTGAACTGAGGACTATACACTCTGTGGTTGACGGCTGTCCCCAGCCACCAGATGCCATCAGTTGATTCAATAAAAGTTTCGTTGGAGGGTTTTATTGTTCCTCAGTTGATAGCTGAAGAAGCTCGAACTCTCCATTGGGAGTAATAATGCACAGTATCAATACACCAGCAGCTGTTTTAGTTTACAGAGAAGTTATGGATGGAAATGAGGCCCGGAGGTCAAATCCATACAGTTAAGATGTGCTATGAGTGATTCTGTGGTCAATACTAAACAGAAATACCAATAGCATAATTCTTGCTTCTTTTTTTTTTTTTTTACAAGCTTGCCATCGTATTGCACGACACCCGAGGGTCAATATTTCTGGAGAAATGCAGTGCACAGGGATTTTCCCTGAATGCACATCAATAACATGTTATGCATTATGGCAAACACGTAGAGACAAGATGAAGAGAAGTCTTGATCTGCAGCATTTTGAAATGATTACTGTTGGATCACTCCATGAACTGACTGAACCAGAGGTACATTTGTACGTGGGACTCTTGGCATGTCTAGCACACGGCAGTAAAAGGCAGCGAATACCAGATTTAAGGATAACCCAGAGCACAGGAAGTTCTAAAGGAAGGGATGCATGACTGTCAACAATAAGCACACAGAAACCTTGCTCACACACCTATTAAACGTGTAAAAGTAAATTTTTACAAACTGCGACAGTAATTATGACAAAACAAGTGCCATGTGTCATGATGAACTGTGTCATGATATTTCAATCTTCTAAAATCTCACACAATAACCAGTTTTAATTCACTGCATCAATATATTAGAATTATATAGAAAAAAACTCCTGCAGTACCTAAGACCAGGCTGCTCTCTGGGGTCAGAGAGCGATGGAGACCCTGACGCCTGGAGGAAGGGGGACGGACGTGACGCCGGCGGGCCCCTGCGGATCAGCTTTCCTGTGACGGGGTCGTAGGTCCGAACCTCAGGAGCTGGTGGAGGAGGTCTGGGGTGGATGGGAGCTGGGTGGAAAATGGGCTTCTGCAGCGAGCCTTGATTGTCAGGAAAAGTTGCTGGACTGTTGCTCCTTCAAACACACAAGAAAACAGATTTCAGAGTGGGAATTATCTCCATGAAAGATTTTTAGGTGTTCCTGTCAATATGTTTTATGTTCACATCTTCTCGGTTCAGGCCCGTGAGACCACAGCTCCCTCACCGTGGTGTTTTAGAGTAATCCTCCTTCAGCGGGTACAGCTGCTCCTCCACCCTCTCCCAGCGCTCCAGACAGCTCCACAGCCAGTCAGGGTTGACAACATGAAGGTACTTGCAGCCTTGGGCCTGGCGAACCTTTTCGGTGCCTGGTGGAAAAGGATGAAAGAGAACGGGAGCAAGTTTTGACCTTGCAATCAAATGCTATTACCAAACGCACACCCTCTGCTGAATAATTCAGATCAATGTTCTCACTTTCTTTATTGGAAGAGAAAGGAGAGAATAATTAGCTGCTCAATGTTATTAGAAGGATAACAAGGAAGATTTGTCTTTCGGAGCCTCTGCCATTTCACCTTTCTGCCAACTATACAATTTTCTTCTCAATGGCCATGTTTTGTTTTGGTAAAGTCCACTGAGAAAGGACTTTCTGCTTGAATAATGCCATTGATGTTTGACACAGAGCCACCTAATTGAATCTTTGAGCGCAGAATCTCATTAACCTGAGGTTATTTCAGATGTGCATGGTTAAAAATCAAATGATTGTTCGCATCGACTATCAGTATCACTGAGCAAACTGCTGCTCAGTTGATGTACAGTGTGCAGTTTGCCATAAACCGGTTACATCCACATCATTATACTAATTATTGTTCAGCAGCGCAAAACTAATGCATGCATGACAATAAACTGAACTCATTTTTCCACAATAATTTAACTGTGCTTGAAAGAAAACAAACATCCAAATTGAAGTTCCTGAGCAGGCAGATCACACAGAAGAGTTTAGAGACACGCTCGTGGTTCTGTGAGGCTGCAATTTGTGATATATGGTAACTACTGCTAGCATGCATTAGGTGCAGTGTGTTGTTTACCATGTTCGCCATCTCAGATTTGTATGAGCTAATTAGCGCTAAAAAATAATGCAGGTTTCCTATTAGTTTTGCATGTAATTTGTTGTAAACCAATTATGCTGCACAAATGAATTTTTTCTGCTGGCACAAAAAAAAAAAAAGAAGAAAAATCAAGGAATCACAACTTATTGTAGCGTAAAAGCGATCACTAAAGTCACTCAGACTCCCCGTCTAAGGATCATCAATGTTTGGGCATAATTTCATGGCAATGCATCAGTACTTGTTGAGACATTTCGGTCTGGACCAAGGTGGAATGACAGACATCGCGAGGCTAGCAGCGTGACTCAGAGCCACACTGAGCATGAAAACAGTCCACATGGTATCCCCAGATGGAGATCCCTGATGTAGGTAGAAGATGGCTGTTCCAGGTGACTCATTTCTGTGTTTACTTTTGGTTGGACTCAAAAACATACTTTTAAAATGATTCACGCATAAATTATGTTTTGAGCTTTTTGACTTCGTGCACACTGTTTCATGGACGGTGCAAAGTTACCCTGATCCATAGAGACACGGCGGCCACACTGATAGCACCGGGAGGAAATAATCTGGAATTAATATTTAAAAACATCAAGGACTTCACAGAAGGAGATCTGATGGACAGGTGGGATGGAAAGGAGCTGCACATTCTCCAGCTATACTCCAAGCAGGGAAGGGATAATGACTGTAGAAAGCTGCAATTAATCAGTCAGCTACCTTTGTGAGATGCATGTGATGAATGCACGCCAAATTTGCTGTACAAGCAACACAATTGGCATTTTCTGCACTTACTTCCAGACTAAGTGACCTACTGTTCATATCGCCCTGATTCCATCTCTGGTTGATTTTTTTCTCTCCTGCTGATGTATGAGGTGAGTGATTGCCAAGTGCTGCTCTCAGAGGGGCTGGCTACCAAGGCAACAGTGCCACTTCCTGTGCTTGTTTTCAAATGGTAAACTGCATTTCTAGCAATACAGGCATGAATCCACTCTTGGTGCATTTTCGACGCAGGGCAACAGCAGCAGCAGCGTTGACAGTTTTGACTGTCACGGAGAAGAACCTGCGTTGGTTGGATTTTACAAGTAAAAATACAGATTTGATGGTTCTTACTGTTTGAGAAAAATATCCTTGAAACAACCTCCAGCAGCATTCGCAAGTAACGTCTGAATAAAATAAACCGTCTTTCTGTCATTCAAGTAATTCTGATTACAGACAACTTTAGTGTCTTAAGAAACTGTGAGAACAAAACAAACTGTCAGCTGTGGTCACTTACACAAGCCAGGAATAGACATTTATTGTATTTCAATTTAGTAATTACTTATCTATATGTTTTTCTAATTGATGGCGTCACTGCTGCTTCAGATTGCTCGTCTACATACATGAGATTCTCAGGACACGACACAAGCAGGTGATCCAGCGTAACCAAATTAATTTTTTTACTACATCACTGTACACTCGTCACTTCCTTTGTATTGTACCAGAGGGATATCAAGTTACGGTGAATGCAATCAAAACATCCCGCTGCTGCTTCAGAGGTACCGCTGCCAGAAATGTAATCGAGGCACACAACTTCCTTGTACAGAAATGGATACGAAACGTTGGCTGGCTTCATCAATCCAACAAAGTGACGGCATTTTGACATTTAGATATTGGCCACTTTTGGCATTATTGTTCCTCACAGCTTTATTTAGACATATCCACCACAGTGATGGAGAGAGCAGCGGCACGCATGCGATATTCATCAAGATGAGACAATACACCAAGTGATATATAATACATAATAATGCAATAACAAACAAAACAATGAACCTAAATCGATGGCAGCTTATTGAAGTGTCCAAATAACTAACAAGATAGATTATTCAGAATTTCCCAAAAACTAAAAGCTCTGCTCACGTATGATAATAATTTAACTTTACAGACAGTAAAAGAACAGTGTGACTTGTTGTTAGATCATAATTGATCTGGTCTCCACGGTGGAACTAATTCATAATTAGAACTAATTAATGAAGTTGCCGCAGTTGCCTCGTACATAAACGACTCCGGCTTTGGAGATTCTCATATATGGATGCTGCAGCTGAACAGTTGAAAGCAACAAACTTAAACAGCACATTGTGTGATTTGCTGTTGGATTCTGATCCTGTTTCCACGTCAGGGATCATTTATAATCACAAGTAATCACTCAAGTTACCAGCGCTGTTGTTCCACATGTACGTCGCTCTGTTTCGCTCAACTGTCTGACGCTGCAGGTGTTTATTAAATTAAGAGGAAAGACTCTCATTGGTGCTGAAATGTAGAAAAATCCAACGTAACAGTGCTTGTACCCATACGTTACTGTCACTGTTTGCAGTTCAGACTTGTGCCGTGTTGAAAGTGACACACTGATGTTACTCTGACCTCGCAAGAAGATGCTGTAGTGACCAGGGTATGCATTCAGACATGAAGCTGACACATTCATATGCCATCAGATTCATGTACAGGGGTGCACGTCTTCTTGAATTCTAGCATCATTAAAGAAACCACGATTTGTATCGATTACAAATATTTTCAGCACACTGCTTCTACTCAGCGATTTCCCACCAAGGGGATCAATAAAGTTCTATTCTATTCTATTCTACTAAAAAATAACGACTACACTTAGCCAAAGGAACAAAATGAAAATCCGTAGGTTGGAAAAAGCATCGTTTTTCTTTCTTAAAATCCATTTTCAGTTCGGCTCATGAATAAGAACATAAAAAGTCAGAAAGATTAACTGATTGTCAAATCTAACAATGATAAATGTGTCTGCTATATTCTTGGTTAACAACACGCATGCACTTGTACGTACCGGCTCTTGCTGCGATGAGATGCGTTGACCGATTGGGGTCTTGGGAGTTAAAAACCAGATTCTTGCCAATCTTGGCCCCGAGTGCTTTGGCATGGTAGAACTCTCGCGTCCTCTCCATGGGGTAGTTGGTGGGGTACAGACCACTGAACACTATCATCGTGCCCTCCAGCGTTTTGCCCTTCAGCTCTGGAACAATCTTGCGAATGTCCGGTGTTTCGGAGGCCTCCTTCCTCAGGTAGGCCTCATAGCGGGCGTAGTACTCCGCATGGATCCTTTCTAGCACTTCCTCCAGGTAGATCAGGTGGTCGTCCTGGTCATTGTCGGCTTCTTCCTCTTCCTCCTCCTCATCTTCCATACTCTGGTCCAGCAGCTCTTCACCCATGGTAACCCCAGATAGTTCACTGTTCTGGGACTCTGTTTCTGGCTCTTTCCTGTCTGAGCAGCCATTGCCAAGCTCGGGGTCGGGGAGAAGAACTCCTGAGGGTTCTGTTGCATCAGAGCTGTTTTCACCGTCACCCCGACCTTTACTATCCCCTTCTCTTGCCCCATTCCCATCAGTGGGCTCCTGCACGACTCCTTCCTGTCCGGATTCCTTTGCCTGGCACGACCTACCCTCACTGTCGCTGTCTGTTGATGGAGGCTTTTCTGTGATGGAGTCATTGTCACTGTCACTGGAAAGGTCAAAGTCTAAGTTATTAGATTCATGGCTCGGTGCTGATGAATTTGCACCTTCCTGCGCCTCTCGTCTCCCGTCTTCCTTAACATTTGTTTTGTCTCCCACCTGAGTTGCCCTTGACTCCGCCCCAGACTCCGTCTCAGTCTCTGACCCCTTACTTTGCCCTAGTTCATCTTCCCCAGCCTCTGTGGGGTGGGTCAGTTCATTTGTTGGTACTCCCTGAGAAGATTGAGGTGTTGCTGACTCTTCCTTTGCACTGGCACTGTGGTCCTTTGCCCTCTTCTTGAGGCCATTATTTTGCTCATCAGCACCAGGCGTCCCTCCTTGATCTGTGCTCTCTGCCGGTCGACTTGAGAGACCTCCTGAAGGAACAGGACATGGAAATCAAATCGTATTCAAGGCTACATGCATTAGAATCGAGGTGAAGCTGCAGTAAGATAAGCCACCAATTAATGAATTCAAATGCACAACTAATTTCTCTTCTCACATGCAGAACAGAAAGCCTAATTAAAGAACTGGCTGGGGCCAGTGGTCATCAAAGATGATCTTGTACAGTTGAGGTGCTGCACATGGAATGCCGAAGCCAACAAAACCCCAATTAACAAGTCAAAAATAGAACTGAATGCATTTATTTATAATATCATTAAATAGTTAGAGGGGAGTATTAAAAATAAAGTGTGTCTTTTCCATGCAATATGATGTTGGTAAATGAGAAACTTTTCAACTCCTTAGGTTTATTCCCATCATAGCAATAATTGAATTATTCATCTAGTCCTCATTTTCCCCACATAGCATTTAGTCCACGTTCCTCCTACATGATAATAAGACGGGTGTGCAAATGTATTTCTGGAAACAGGAGGGTCTAATGGGTCTGTGTGTAACATCAGTGGAGCAAATAAGAGGACTCTAACTAGTTTATCTGAAAACACTGTAGCTAAACACCGGTCAGCTAAAGCTAACTTTTTTCACACTAGTACATTTGACACAGGGGATAACTCAGATTTTAGCTCAAGCAGAGCTGCTCTTCTTGGAGCAGAATCTTTCTCTGAGGAAGATCACATTCCTGTGGGTACACTGAGTCACTGCAGTGCAAGTGACTCTGTTTGAGCGTGAAATAAAAGTGTAAGTGATAACCTGTCAGCAACACAGGATTTTTGTAAAGTGTTGCACGGATACTGAGACAGTCAAACTTAACAAATAATATTTAGGCTTTTAGAAGCAAAACGTATTATTTTTTAATGAGATAATGCACAGCAAATAGCATCCAATAAGTTTCCTTGTTCAAAGGAACGTACTGTATTGATTGAACCCCACAGGGTGGGGCTGACAGCAAAGGGCAGCGAAATAATCGGAGGAGGCAGAGCGAGCGAGAGCAGCCTTGTGTGCATCAGCCCTGTGCGTGATTATCCACGACTGCAGATCTGCATGCATTCCTGACTTGAGCCGTGTTGACAGCGATATGGAAATCTTGTTCAGTCCAAGCTAGTGAGATCGTTGCGACTTTAACGGAAAAGTGACCAGGGGGTGCTCACTCAAACAAAAGGAGTACGTGTCTGAGAGGGGCTTCAGTATTCTCATAGGTGTTATGTTATGTTAAGCCTCCGTTGGACAACAGTACAAAGCATTTCAAACTTGTAGATTAAACTTTGAAGGTCATTAGACTTCAAAGATGTTATATTTCCCCCATCTGACTTTAGAGTAAAAAAAAATTACATGTGTAGCGTGGTATAAAATTTAAGAGCTCATGAGGAATTTGCTAGTTGAAGATAATGGCAAGCCAAATACGCCCCCTCTGAAGCCAAATGGATGAGGTCACGTATCTATGAAGCTCTTAAACTGTACTTAATGCAACAATAATCAATATTTCCATATTTATAACAACTGCATGATGTAACAGGATTGCTTGTAGTAACAAACTGACGCTCAGCAATCACCCAATGCTGCACTCCTCTCAGCTCTACAAAGCATTTTAACTCACACTCATTGCTCACAAGGTATTAACTCAATGATTGTTACTAACAGCTTTGTTGTGCCGGCCTGAAGCGGGGAAAAATATAACATATACAACTAAAATTCAATGTAGTTTCATTTTTCATCTGTATCACAGTGTGGTACGGCAACACCACCCTGGCTGACAGGAAATCCCTGCAACGGGTCATTAAAACTGCAGAGAGGATCATGAGCTCTGACCTCCCCTCCATGAACCTTGTATACACCCGGCACTGCAGGAGGAGAGCAGAGAGCATCCTCAGGGACAGACAACATCCAGCTCCTGCTCTGTTCAGGTGGCTGGACTCAGGCTACAACCTGAGACGCTGCAGGCCTGAGAGCGTCGGTGCTCACAAAGCTCACTTTTGGACGTTAGCGAGGGGAAGAAGTGCCTCATTCCACCTCACCACCCCTCCCCTATCTCCCCAAACACCATGTCCTAATTTATGTACAATTTTACGGCCTTTTCACTTCTGTTTACAAACCAACAAGTGCAACACTACTTCTGTACACTACATAATATGTGCAATACCTTCTCAAGGTATTTACTCTTTAACATTTTATTTTTTAATGCAAAGTGCTTTCTTACAATGTGTATTTATTTTATTCTTATAATGTATATTTGTACTTTGTTATTGCTGCTGCTCTTACTGTTATTCATTTTTTTGTGAGAAAATGCACAAAGAATTACATGTACTTGTGCAAATGTCAACACAACTCAATTCTATTTTAAATTTCAGTTCAATGTAAAGTTCTTTAAACTGTAATCTTTATTTCATAATCCATATTTAAGTGATTTTAATAAAAAACACATTGATAATTTAGTACATTTCTATACGCAAATGTGAGTCATAAATGTTTTCAGAACATGTACAGTCGGATAAATGTCGGAACTATTTGAATGCAAAGCACTAAGACAGGGATGCTTTGCATTTGGGGGGAAAAAAAAGTCTTATAGACGAGTTTGAGTCTACATTAAACCAAACCAGCTCCAGGCATTAGTTTATATATAGTTCATATTATCGGTAACAAGTCATCTCTAACATATACTACATTTAAATGAAGAGGATCCAGCGGGCTCAGACTTATTTTATCCACAGTGGAATATTGTGTTTACTCACATAACAAACTGTCTTGCTGTCTTTGACTTGATGAACACTGGCAGCTGTTGTAACATGGGATCAGTGCAACCAGCAGTTATCAGTTAATTGATGTGATAGCCTGAGGGTGGGTATGAATAAGGGGGAGGGGAACCCACAGCAGACCCCAAGGAAACATGGCTTCAAGCAGCTTGTTTCCAGCGATGATCATCAGGAGAGTAACAGTGTTATCGCCAGGAGCGCCTTCATAAAGCGCCACAACTGAATACGGAAGGAAGTACAATTGAGTACTGGAACCCTTCAAAGACGGCCTTTTTAATTTTTTTGGGACAAATTTATTCACAACAGTGCATTTACAATTAAATCTTTATAAAAATTCATAAACAGTGAACCTCTGCTTGGTAACATGATCTAAAAGCGCCGCTCACAGCAAAGTGTGGAAACACTTCACCGGACAGGGCTTTCTTCAGGTTGTTAATCTGACCCCCATGTGTTGCATGAACTGTCAGCAGCTTCCCTGGGTCGTTCTCTCAGTGCACCACGATATCAAAGATGTGTGTGAGCGCCGTACCTTTCTTGGCCATCTGTGCTTCCCGTGACCCGGGCGGAGCGTTGATGTCTCCTGTGCCCTGGAAGTAGATGTATTTCTTCACAGTGATGAGGTTCGGTGCAAACTTCCACACATCCTCTCGGTCATCGATTATACAGACCATCGAATCCCCGCAAGGGAAAAGATTCCTGTTGTCAAAAATGACGCACGAAACACGAGTGAAAATGCTGAGCTTTGTGATGAGCCATTATTCATCTGTCTGTGATTGTAGTGTTGTTTCTGTGACAGATTAGACGAGACGTTTCTTTCACCGATCTTCCTTTTTTGTTAGCAGAATTGCTGACAATCATGGAGAATTGACACTGAGAAAAAGAATAACAGATCTGTACAATTTCTGCTCATACATCAACAAACAAACACAATGAAGACAGACTGTCCGTGGTGCAGACTGTTATAGAAGCTCAGAAATGATTTGGATGAATATACTGCTGCCTGGATCATGGGATCAGATCCCTTTGTAATCTTCTCCAGAAAAAACACACATTCTGAGTCACTTTTTTTTTTTTTTGCTTTAAAACAAAACGAAGTTCAAAAGGACCACAAAGAGAACAAGTGCAGGATCACCACAGACTAAACTGAGAGCAATCGATGTAGTTGCCATCTTTAGCAGAGGGCAATTCCCACCTAAGATTCCCTGTCTTGGAGTACGGATCGATGCATTCGTCTCTAGAAAGGATTCGGTGAGAGAAAAGCTTCTTTTCAGGATCCAGAAAGCCTGAAAAAAAAAAGAAGAAGAAAAAAAAAGATGCATATTTGAATGCCAATTCAGCTGAGGCTTCTTCTCCAAGGTTACAGTAGGCATTTCACTTGTATTGAAATCTGATGAAGAGAACAGCCTTTTAATACATTTTGGTGACCTTTTCTTCAGTGTTTTCTAATGCAATCAATCTAACTTGCTCTGGTTTTCCTGCTGCGTTTCAAAAGAAATATACAGTCTGTAATGAAACCTCAGATAGAGCTCCAGCATGGCTGAACAAGACAGTTGTTGTGGAGGCTGCTAGAACCACAACAGAAGCTGTCGATAGCGGGAGCACCGCTCTGAAACATACCGACCTCCCTGCATCAGGGTCAGTAGTAAAATCCAATTCAAAATGCATTAAACATTCATCATATAGAGAGCAGAACAGTCCCGAAGCATGGCTGAATCTATTATAAATAGTATGATGAAAGATTGCAGCATGAATACCAACGGGATGCCGCATAAACACGCAATCAACACTTCAATAGAACCCAACCTTAAATCATACAGCTGTGAAATATTTTCATTTAGCACAATAGCAGCTTCTGGCTTACTTACAGCAGCCAAATGCTGCCAAAATGATGCCGGAAATGGAAGGATTGACTAGTGTAGGGAACCAGCTAAAATGTTAAAGCAAAACATAAACTGGCTTTAATATGAGTTTTAAAGTTCAGCACCCCTGATGCTTGCCAACAGCACACGGGCTGCACAGCACTGAATAACACTGCTGCAACACAAAGCACGAGCAGACACTTCCCTCTTTTGGACACAAACAGGCAGTGCAAGGTGAAGCACAATCTAAAGTCTGTGCATAAAAATTCAATGAAATCAAATTAGGGGGAATAATGGAATCTGTAGCTATAACGCTTTACTATCTAATCAGTACATCCTACAGCCCAGTTCAATATTATGACAGAAAGGTTCTATAAAATGTAAAACAATGGCTCCTTACCAGCGATGGTGTGTGCATAGAGGCGGCTCCCAAATGTGAAGACATGCAACTCGTAAAGTTTGGCAATTTTCTCCAGGAATTCCTTGCAGTGCGGGCGTAGTCGTGTGTGGAGCATGGGCTCCCCTCGGCCGAGCTGGAAGTGGAAAATGCCCTGAAGGAATAAAAGGCTGTCAGTATTACACAGCAACATAGAAACCACAGATTAAGGTCACGGCATCTGTTTTTAAAGTCACATTCTGAATGAGAACGTCAGTTAATCAATTACGAAAGACTGAAGGAGATTTCTACTAGATCTTGCTTTTAATGCTAAATGAAGAACTATAAAGAGTGCATTGTTGCATGTACTAAAGACAGATTCATTTGTTTTAATTGGAGATGTAAATGTGACTTGACAGTTTTCTTTTTTTATATATCTAAATACCATTCACAAGCAATGAGACACACCCATTTTCAGTTCAGTACATATTAGTAGCACAGCCTCAGTGGCATGAGCCACAGCTTATGGTGGCTGATGTTGACGTGTTTATAGGTAGTCGTAGCTACATAACAGACTCTTTTACATGAATTGTGCTGCTGTTACAGAACATTCATTAGCAACACGCTGAGACCGCACCCTAATTATTTGTGTATGACAGTGTATGGCAGTGACACGGGGACGGCTACCTTATTGGACATACGCTGGCAGTGCTGTTCAGTGGTGTGGATCAGTGTCTGGTCCAGATCTACCATGAGGACCAGCTTCTTGTTCCGGTGGAGTCTCTGCTGGTCTTCTCTGCCCAGCTGTTCTGCTTGCTGTTGGATTAAATAAAGATGATGGGAAAATATCAGCAACCACCATTTAATGTTTTTGTACAGCCTCTGGTCTAGGATTGAGTTAATTATTTACTTCAGACTCAACTTGCAGTATTGTTGGTTGTGATCAACCCTCTCAAACGCTAAACCTGCCAGTGGTTTTGGTTTTTTTTCCAAATTTTTATAGAAAAAAAATCTATCAACTTTTTTCCTGATTGTAACTTTGTTCTACTGCTAATGGATATTTTAAAGCTCTCTGGTTGTGATGTTTCCAATGACGGCACAGGAGTTTATATTGCAGTGAAAAATTAGCCCACAGTAAATAAAATGTAAAATAGTTTTTAAAATTTTTTTTAAAAACACCCGGAAACTTCTTGGGGTTCATGGGGTTTCTTTTCCCTCTATTTTCTGTGTATATGTAATCGGTAGAACCAGTCATATAACTGCCCTTCAATAGATAAACAGAGTTGCATTGTATTGAACAACTGAACAAAAATCTGGGTCAGTATAGGAGTCAGGAAAATAAATCAGCCTTTGGACCAAAACAGTAATAACAGATATGCTTCAACATTTTGCTTTTAACTACATATTCACTACGTAATATCCACAGACTGACAATGAACATCTCGACCTAACCTGATTGTTGTTCTGCAGAACTATTTCATTATCATCGGTTTCATGCAGTATTTTACTCTCAACACTGAGATTTTAAAATAATATCTAACATGAAAACGTATTCAGTTTAAAGACTTAAAACCTTGCACAATTCAAAAGAGAAGCACTGTGCTTCCAAGAGCACCGCATGCACACGGACACACACGGACATCTTACAGTGGAATAAATGTGAGCTATATCTGCCCTGCTAACCCAGTCCTCAAGGTGTCTCCATCATATGACTCACCTCAGAGCTGACCATCAGCTCGGGGACACTGTGCACCATGGAGACTGTTGCTGTGGAGATGGGAGTTTGCTGGTTCCCATTTGTGCTCTGGAGCCTGAGAAAGGGAAGAAAAAAAAAGAAAAGAAAAGAAAAGAGTAGCAGTCATGCATTTTTTGTGTTTTGTGTATCTCACTGGTCCTTGAACATATTGCGACTGAGAAGAAAAGGAGCTTTCAGAAACATGCAAATTCAAATTTGCTCGACTTGGCAGCAGTTACATTTGGAATAAAAGAAGAAAATAAAATACTTCAGCTACCATGTGTTTTGGCTGATTTTAAGCACTTCAGATTCATCTCTTTTTTTGTCACAGATCATGTTATTATGACTTGTGAAAGTGTTTCCTGTTGCCAGACATTCACATCATGTAACCACACAATGCAAACTCTCTGTCAAAAAAAATTACCTTTCAAGCAGTAAAATAAAAAGCCACATTTCTACCTCACAATAATAATACATAGACATTTTAAATGCACGTCTGCTGATAGCTACACATTTTACATCTTTATCAAAGTGACACATGGTAAAGCACAGAATGTAAACACTTGGTTTATGGCCTGAGTTGCACTCAGCTCTCTTTGTATGATCTCTGGTGCCACCTGATGGCATTACATGAAACAGAATCTAACACTACTGCACAGTCAGTGTTCAATTTCAGACGTGTAACAAACAAAAAGTTCTACAGTGTCCTTTTACTGAATGATGTCCGGTAACTGCACAACCCTATGAGCTTTGATTTTTGTGTCATTATTGGTCGGGATGTTTAGCATTCAGCTCATTGCATGTGAGCTGAAGTGTCCCAGACTGAACAGGAAAATAAAAATTAATGGACAATTCAAAGTGTAAAAGCTGTTTCCTTACTGAGTCAGATCCTGGCCACATTCCGCACATAAACCCTTCATAACTATGGGATGGCTGCATTCTTCTATTCTGACGATGACGCCCCTGAAAAAAGAAGACAAACGTTAATATAGACAGATTAACTGTGTACATAACAGTAAACAGGTGACATGCAAGGCCTACATAGAAATACAGATGCCAGTCGGTGTTTTGACACTTCACAGATTAGTTACTGATTTGTTTTGACTAACTGAAAAACAAGTTGCCAATCCGATCACCTGAACAAGTCTCTATTTACAGTAATAAAAAGCTTAGCGTTACACACACACAGTGGCTTTGCTTTGTAATTAGGACAAAACAGTTGCTACTACGACTGTTGCTGAAGTAAACAAACTGAGCTGGAGTAGGTTCCTGTTTACCAGCAGTCACGTTAAATCACAACCGTGAGTGAGAGCAGCTTCCAATAAAGTGCTGTACATTATATAGTCCCTTTTCCATCACTGATTAAAACGTTCAGAGCTCATCTTTGTGTATCAAAGTTGCATATTTAGAAGATTTTTCCAAGAATCTCTTCTTGCTCTCAAGATGACTGAAATGTAACTCCACGCTGTTGCTTCCCTCTCTAAAGTCCCCACCTCTTTCCAGTCACAGCAGCTCGAGCACACCAGCTTACCTATGATTCTGCTCAAACACTGTACGCTACACAAAGGCAAGTTGTAATATTGGAGGGACTCAGTCGTGCATGTTTGACCTGCAAACTGACTGAAGCTCCGATCTGCAGTCTGACAAGATTGGTTACACATGAAACCCTGGAGGTCTGCATGTGTGTTTTTGAGACCGTCGTCATTACACTTCAGCCGGAGGGTATGTAAAAATCAGAGGCAGGTCCTTTAAAACATTATAAATAACTACAAAAATGTAATTTAACCTTTCTATGTACTTTGTAATTACTTTGTTGCTTCACAGATACAAACCTGCTCCTGTGACTACTTTGCAGTCGTATCTAGCTATCAGTCAAAACAAGCAGCAGGAATTGTCAAAGTCAGGAGTAGGAGTTTACAAGGAGCACCTGAAGGCAGCATGAGTCACACTTCTCAAACAGGAGTGACAGCAGTTCACACCTGTGAAGTTTGGAGTCACAGTTGTGAATGTTAATATAAAACCAAAATGAAAAAAATGTGACTTAAATTAGCCCAAAGTAGACTTATTTTTATGCTTAGGTGCATCTCACAGAACAACAGGGACCATTTTAAGATGAAATCAGAACAAAAGACAACTCGGAGTAAGTAGTGTAAAATAAGTTATGTGCTGTTTGATCACGAGTAGCTCCTGTTATTCTGAAATGATCAGCATCTGGGCAGACGTAACAGCAACACAACAGGTGTTGTGCCACAAAGTGGTAGGTATGAATTTAAGGCTGATCATAGTCAATACTTTGGTATTGTTTCTAATATTTATTCTGTGTGTATTTGCTAATATCCTTGTTTAGAGTGTGCAGCTAAAATGATTTACAGGTGAGTAATCATCCTCTGATTTCTAACCTTTAGAGCACAACCCTACTTATTGAAATCAAGTCATTCTGATGCAATAACAACATTTCTGTTGAAATGCATGGGCTGCAGTTACTTCATGGCAGGTGTAAAACTGTATTATAGAAGTTGAACTGGTCCTTCAAAGTCATATTTAAAAAAAAAAAAAAGTTGATTGGTTGGAATCAAAGCAGGTAAAACAATGCAGAGACATGAAGATCATTGTTCCTGAAAAATACAGTCCGTTGTTGGCACGACACCGGTTCAAACTCCCGGGGACAGCAGTAGCCTCCAGCGCTCCTCGATCTGTCAACCTCCACAGCTTGTACACACTTTGTGCACGCGAGGGACAGCTGCGTCAAGCCACTCACCGTGAGACAACACTACAAGTTGTTTTCCTTCAAAATAAAAGTGTGAAATATTTTGCCCATCTATAGTTCTTAACGTTTGTTCGCGTGCATGCTCGAGAAATCCCCTAACGATTATTGTAAGGCAATTCTCAATCGATTTTTACTTTTACTAAAATTAAAACGCATTACTGAGTTCAGAAACGTATTATTGAAAAGCACACGCTTTTATTGCGAAAATCTTTGGGGCAAGTCCGCCTGTTTATTTTGACTGACTTGACGCTGGTTGGTTAGCAAACAAGCTAACATCAACTTAGCAATGTTAGCTTGTTAGCTAGCTGACGTACAGAGTGGGGAAGTCAGTACCCGCACAAACCGTCCCAAACTAAGCTGACACGCTGCCTGTAAGCTCTCCAAGCAGGGGACAGGTCAGCTAACATTAGCTAGCTATAGCAAGCACAGTGACTCACCCGGGAGGTATGACTTGTCCAAGTTGACAGCATAGCTCCTTCACTACTCCAGCACGGTTGGATTTCACCTTCCTCTCTGGGAGCCTGGCAGCCTCTGTCCCCTTCTCCTGAGGTATGGGAGCACACAGAGCCAGCACGGAATCCACGTTAACAAGAGACCCGGGTTTGACTTTCCACTCCAGGAGCCGTAGAGGGAGAGCCCCGGTCGGCCAGCAGATATTCGCCACCTGCACCGCGGGCCCCTCCGCTGCTGCACTGCCGCCGCCGCCACCACCACCACCACCAGAATCTGCTGGAGGATCCTCCATCTGCCCCTGCGTCTCCAAAAATCCCCTTAGTTTTCAGCAGCGGTCCGCCTAAAACGTATACACTTGACCTCGCAGCGCCCCGTGAATCATCAAAACGTGCAAACCCTTAGCATGAAGGAGAATTAAAAGAACGGTGCTGCCGATTTAAACACAGTAGCTCCACAGTTCGCTCTTCCCGCCCGTAAACAGGAAAGCGCAACACTGCAGCGACACGGAGCGCTACAGCATCCGGTACGTCGGCGAGAGCGCAAACACGGAGATTCAAAATAAAATCCCCGACGATGTCCCACCGCTGTACGGTTATTTAAAACGTTGTAGTTCTGCAGTTTGTCTACATACGTTTTGTGGAGGATCACCATGGTAACTGACAGCAGCAGGATGCAAGAACGTCTCCAAGGAGCGGAGCTGCGCACATTTACGCACGTGGAACAACAGCGCCGGGAAACGCATTAAATTCCGTTTTTGTCCTGTCGAGGAAATGTTGCCTCCCGAGTCGTTTTGATCTGTGCATACTTACTACTGAAGATCAGATACAACTTTAATAATAATCCTAAACTGAAGGAAATTATTGTTTTGTCTAATCTTGTGCAAAGGATAAACTTTATTTTTCAAACGCTGATGTTGTTCTGACTGTAACTGCAACCTAACTGTTAGACAACAC